CCACAAGTATGATTTCCCATTCTTCCTCCTTCTCATCATTAATTGAACATATCCATCTTAATTATTTATGTATATTTCAAATTGATTCTGCTCTCTGGGAGTCTCTCTATTATAGGTTATTTCGCTGTAATGCCTCACAGAGGTTTTGATTTGCATCTGGCTCTTCAGTCATTAGCTCTACAATTTCCCAGTCCCCAGACCGGTTGGATTTTTTAATAGCATCTACTACACTTTGCATGTAGAGGCCATCCTCAAAAGAAGCTGCCATTGCAACTGGCTTAGGATCCCATGTTCGCTGGTCTTCCTGCTCCTGGAAGGAATGACGAAGTGCTTGTACTAGGTATACCATCCCTTTGAGGTACAACAGTGGCATGTCTTTGAATCCTTTCTCAGAAAGCTCTGCATTGACATTCAAAGAGTCTGCATGCAAAAGCTCCTCCTGGGAAGCAGTGTTCTTCTGGCCATACAAATCTGTCCCACGTGCTATAAGGCGTCCAGATGATCCCACAATCATAACCTCATGGACAAATGATCCAGGCATGTTGAAGTTCAGAGTCACTGTGCTACAGATGCCTCCGGTCGTTAGCATCTGGAAAAAGCAGAAGTCATCGCTGGTGACATGGCGGATGCCACTGATAGCAGAGTTCTGCTTCACAAATGTTTTCAGCAAGCCATGGACTTTCACTGCCTTCTGACTTGTCAGATGAGTGAGGAGGTCTATGATATAAGTTCCCATTGTGTGCAGTCCACCCCCACCCATCAGTTCATCACAGATCCAATTGTATTTTTGGCTGAGAAGGCTCCCCCAATACACTCGTACATCACAGACGAGCACACTGCCTACATAATGCTCCTCTATTAATTGTTTCATTTTGATAAAAGCTGGTAGAAATCTGAGGACATTGCCTACAAGGCTCATGAGTTTGGGGTAATACCTGGCAGCCGTGACCATTCTGAAAGCATCCACAGAGGTAGCAGCTTTCTCACAGATGACATTCTTTCCAATACCTGTGAATAAATGACAACATTTTAATTCAACATTTTAATACTGTACTATGAGGAAATCTTGAGATTTCCAGAGAGCTCAAGTAGTAACAAAGATA